TTTGTTCCCAAGTTGTTTAACTCATTTTTGGTGCAGGAATCCTGCGGCTCATCTCCCCTTCGGTGGTGGTTCGGCAGCAGATCCGTTGGTCGTTTTCCAGGTTTTGTTTTTTGCATTAATTTAACAAAATAGTATGTGTAAATTAGCTATATAATTTCCAATATAGTATAGATAAATTAGCAATAATTTTTGAAATATAATACGTATATAGTGACTTGTTAAAAGTTTACTTGTTTAGATTAATTAGCTATTTTTTTCTTTTTAGTTAGATGTTTTTGTGAAAATGGCTAGTATACTTGTATGTATCCAATAGTAAATCAAAAAAAAAATTAGAATAAGTATGGAATTCTTGTTTATATAAAAAAATAACTAAATAAACAACTTAAGTGCTAATACTTGGTATAATTTAGGTTATAATAGTTAGGGTAGAAAAATATTTTAAAGAGTTAGAATTTACATTCTAGTTATGTTAGTTAACAAACAACTTAAGTGCTAATACTTCTCTGTTTCGAATTTTCATTTGAAAATTCTCCATGCCCTATCAATGTGTTAATTATATTATTTATTATTGGAACAAAATGAAGAAAATGCAATCAATTAAATATTAGAGCGCTATCATATGCTAATTTGAAATAAATTAGATTAAGTTTTATGTTTTAGGACTCTTTTGTCTTACAATTGTTTAATGTACATATTAATATTGAAACCACTCACGTATTATAGTAAAATATATAATTAAACTATTTAGATAACCTTTGGGAGAATATAACTTAGTAAGTAGTATAAATAAAATAAATATGTAAACTTCTAATTTTTTTTATTTGTGTAGATGACATTTGCGCATCGTAGATGGATGTATAATAGGAATCATCCTAATCGTGTGGGGTTAAGGGATGAATTTAAAGAAGGGGTTTCTAGATTTATTGCTAAGGGAAGGACACTTGATGATTTTCGTATTGAAGGAACGATTAGGTGTCCTTGTGTGAAATGCAAGTGTGTTAAGTTATTGGGAGAAGATGTTATTACATGTCATCTTTTTAAAATAAGATTTATGAAAAATTATTATGTGTGGACTGCTCATGGGGAGAATCTAGATAGCATAAATGATGTTGATTTTCATAATTCTTTTGGTGGTGAGGAGGGTAGTCCCGTAATGGAGAATAATGTTGAAAATTCTAGATTCAATGACATGATGAGGGATGCCTTGAGATGTTTCTGGGGGCTCAATCTGGACTAAATGATGAGACTAAGAAGTTCTTCAAAGAGTTAGAGGAAGCTAGTTGTCCGTTGTATGAAGGCTCAGTGCATTCCAAGTTGTCTGTTGCTGTTCGATTACTTCAGATTAAGTCGGATAGTTTTATTACTCAATCGGGCATGAATTCTATCATTGGGCTTATGAATGAACTTAATCCGAGTAACATTTATCTACCCAAAGATTTCTACACGGCAAAAAAATTGGTTTCCAAGTTGGGTCTTTCATCAGAGAGGATTCATTGCTGTGAGAATGGTTGCATGCTATTCTATAAGTATGATGCATCTCTAGAGAACTATAAATTTTATAACAAGCCTCGTTACAAGGATGCCATAAATGATAAAAAGAATAAGATCCCGGTGAAGGCGATACACTACTTACCCCTTATACCAATGTTAAAGAGGTTGTATGCATCAATGAGCTTTGCTCATCATATGAGATGGCATTATAAGCATAGAAGGTCGGATGGTGTTCTATGTCATCCATCAGATGGAGAAGCATGGAAGCATTTCGATAGGATGTCCTCGGACTTTGCTAGTGAACCAAAAAAAATTAGGTTGGGATTATGCGCTTATGGATTCACTCCATTTATAGTCTCTGCTGCACCATATTCATGTTGGTCGGTGTTTGTTACGCCATATAATCTTCCACCTGAGTTATGTATGACAAGTCCATATTTGTTTCTAACTTGTATTGTTCCAGATCCACGCAATCCAAAAAAGTTGATTGATGTTTACATGCAGCCTTTGATTGATGGGTTGAAGTTATTGTGGCATCAAGGCGTAGAAACATATGATGTGTCAACAAAGAAAAACTTCAGATTGCGTACTGCTTTGATGTGGACTATAAATAATTTTTCTGCTTATGGAATGATGTTTGGGTGGTCGACTGCCGGAAAGTTAGCTTGCCCGACTTGTATGGAAGATACAAAGGCATTCACTTTGAAACATGGAGGTAATAATACATGGTTTGACTGCCATCGCCGCTTTTTGCCAATGGATCATGAGTTCAGGAGAAATACTAGTGCATTTATGAAGAACAAAACTGATTATGAGGAGCCACCATCCTTCTTGTCTCCAGAAGAGATTTGGAACAGAGTTAGGGATCTACCTAAGGTAACAGAGTATCCCTTGGCTAAAAAGATATCTGGTTATGGTGTTACACACAACTGGACTAAACAGAGCATATTATAGGAGTTACCTTTTTGGAAGCACAATCTTCTTTGGTATAATCTTGATAGCATACATATCGAGAAGAACTTTTTTGACAACTTGTTTAATACTATGATGGATGTCAACAACAAGACAAAGGATAACTTGAAGGCCAAGATGGACTTAAAGGAATATTGTAGGCGAAGTGAGTTGTACCTGACATATTTGAACAGCAAGATTCAGAAACCCAAGGCCAGTTTTACATTTACATTTAACCTGAAGAGATTTGTGATTGGGTTAATAATTTGAATATGCTTGATGGGTATGCATCAAACCAGTCTAGGTGTGTTGATATGAAAGAAGGAAAGTTGACGTCTATGAAAAGCCACGATTGTCACATTTTCATTGAATCTTTGATGCCTGTTGCATTTAGTGCATTGCCTGATAGAATATAGAAGCCCATCACAGAGGTAAGATTATTTTTCAAGGAGTTGTGTTCTAGCACCATGAGGGTGGAGAACCTAAATTACATGGAGCGTAACATTTGCGTAACTTAAAACAAGTTGGCGAAAATTTTCCCTCTTGGTTTTTTGACGTGATGGAATATATTCCTATTCACCTTGCACAAGAGGCATGGCTTAGAGGGCCAGTTCAATGCAGATGAATGTATCCATTTGAGAGGTAATTAGTGACTATTAATCATTAATCCTTATGTGTTTCATTTTAACATTATTCCTTCTAAAAATAATGCTAATATGCAAGATTATTGGCAAATGTAAGCGGACTGTAAAAAATAGATCTAGGATTGAAGGATCGATTTGTGAGTCATATGTAGCTAGAGAAACTTCTTGTTTTTGTTCATATTATTTTGAACATGACGTTCCATGTTTGAGAAATAGACCTGATCGGCATGATGATGGAGGCCCCGATCCTTCATATCCACCATTTTCGATATTCGATCAACTAGGTAAAGGCGGTCCAAAACGTAGTTCAAAATGACCTTTGAGTGAGATGGAACTAAAGTCAGCTACAACACATGTGATTTTGAAATGCCCAGAGGTCCAACCTTACTATAAGTAAGTATACATTTATATTATTACCGACATATATTAAAGATTCATCATCGTTTTAAGTAATTACATTTTTTATTTTGTCGGACAGTTGGTTTGTTGGTACATATGGGCAAGAGCTTGTTTATCCAAAGTTTTCAGAATGGTTTAAAGAGTTTGTAAGTGTTACTTAATTTTCAATATGGTCTTATTAACGGTAAATTATAATAAGTTATATATATTTAAATAATTCTAAATTATTTTACCCTTTATAGGTTCATAATCCAGTTAATGGCGTAAATGACCATTTTTTACAAGATATAGCTTGGGGACCTGATCCTAAAGTCATAAAGATGTAAAAGTATTTTATGAATGGGTACAAGTTTCATACAGAAGAATGGTCTAAGGATAAGAAAACAAATAATAGTGGTGTGTGTGTGAAAGCCGATGGGGATATTGATTATTACGGTGTGCTTCAAGAGATCATAGAACTTGAGTATAAAGTGGGTTGGCCAATGAAAATATCGGTACTCTTTCGGTGTAAGTGGTAAGACCCAACAACAATTAGAGGTACGAAAGTGCATCCTCAATATAAAATTGTTGAAATAAAGCACACGGGGAGGTATATACTCTATGACCCATTTATTATTGTACAAAATATGAAACAAGTGTATTATGTACCTTATCCTTTGTGCAAGAATAAGTCAGCATGGCGGGTAATGATAAAATCTAATCCAGTGGGTTGAGTTGAAGTCGAGGATGCATTAGATGTAGCGTACCAAAATGATATTTCAAGTGTTGAAACAGTAGTGGATGATGAATTAGCAGATGAATTGCAGGATAGCAACGGCCTATACGAAGAATTCAATCCTTCTGTCCTAAGATCAATTTTAACTGAGCATGGTGAGGAAACAAGCGATGAAGAATTATATGATGAAGAAAATAAAAATGAAACAAGTGATGAGGATTAAGCTATTTGTGTGTTTTATGACTTGTTCAGTATTTATATGTTATGATGAGCTTCATTGTAATATGTAATATTATTACTTTATATTATTAATGACATCTTCGTTTTTATGTTTATATTGTTATATTTATTATGTATACTTTATGTTTATATTTTTTATGTTAATTCTTTTTACATGTAAATATTTTATATTTATTAAACAGATGGATTCTCACAGTAAAGAAATAAAAAAATCTAAGAAGAAAAAATACACTTTACCTAGATCAAGTGAGCTTCCTCCACCTACACCAAATATGAGACCTCCTCATATGCCTCCTAGTCCTTCCATGCCAGCTTCACAGTCATCTGACTTTTTCAAAGTCCCTTCCCCGTCTAGATCTCTTCAGTTTTACTCCATGCCTTCTCATGGTGGCTCAGCTTCAACCACCATTAATTTTATACCTACGCCTCATTTCCCAGCTTCTTCCCCACCCGATCCTACTAGTCAGCTCGGTGGCTCACCATCGATTGCATCCCCGAGCCATCATAGTAGCCAGCATTGTGGTTCATCTTTTGTGCCTCATACATCGTCCAATCAATTATCATCTCCATCATCATCCACTCCAAGTATATCGAACTTGGATATTGGAGGCTCTCTCACAGCTGCATCCCCATCTACCAGTACTTCTACAATTGTTGGTACCGTGAGACACTGTACTATAAGGACTGTACAATACGATCATCTTCATTAGCTGGTTATCGTTCCCTATGGCTACGGGTGAGTTTTCCTTCAATTTCCTTTTAAACTCTTTCAATAAAATTTTGCATATAATGAATTTAATGAAATTTTATATGTTAAATTAAATGCAAGTTTTTGCCATCCTTTCAGGCCACGTATATGGTGATGGAATCTATGAAGCCATTTTTTTATGAGCCGTAGAATTCCTGGTGACAGATGTCGTACCAGATCAGAATGAATATGTGGTAACAATTTAAGGTAAGAATAAGTTAATTTTTATTATTACTTATCCTCATTCGTCTAATATTATTTATTCAACTTTGCAAGTTAGGTACGTATGGCAGCCTACACTTGAAAATTGGGTGAATGAGAACTTCGAGAAGAGAGCACAAAAGCAGATATCAGATTCACATCATGATGCTAGGAAAGGTTGTACCAGGTCTGATTAGATACTTGAAGATGTCTGGAGTCAGCTCTTGGCGAAGTGGAATACCCCTGAGTGGAACAAGAAGAGTGAACATGCAAAGTTAAATAGAGCTTCTACTAAGGGTGGAGCGTTGCATACTGAAGGTTCAATTAGCTTTGCAGCCCATCGTTTGAGAATGGTAATTTTATTATAAAATATTCATAGTTTTACAAGTATGCAAATTGAATANGGTCTTTGCGGAGACCCACAAGAAGAAGAAAAAAGACGGCACAAGAGAAGGATGGGTCGAATCGCGTGCTTCAGAGACATTTGTACGATCCCAACACCAACACTATATTATTTTTTCCTCTTGTTTATTTTATTTATATAACATGTATTATTTTTATTTTACGACAAGTATCATATTGATCTTTTTCAAGTATGTTCAATTCCACTATGTTGACACTTTCTAACAATCTCCTTATACCTCTCCCATGCTTCAAAAATAGTCTCGGTCTCTTTCTGGCAGAAGTTATGGATGCTTCTCTTCTAAGCTTGCCCGTCTTAGCTGAGGAGAAATATTTATCACGTAATTTCTGGTCATCTCCTCCCATGTTCTAATCGATCATGTGGGTAAGCTTTGAAGCCACTGCTTTGCATCATCTTTGAGTGTGAAGGGGAATTCCCTTGAGTGCACTGCATCTTGTAACACAACATTATATTCAAAGGTATTCATAATATCCTCGAAGTCCATTAGATATGTGTTTGGATCTTCGTTCATCTTACCTCTGAAGACACAAAAATTCTGAAGTGCTTGAAGCAACCCTTGCTTCAACTCGAAATTGTTGCTGCAGTTGGAGGTGGTCTAACACTTGATAAGCTTTGATTGTAGACTGGTCTAGCATAATCTCCCAATGATCTCCTAGGCATGGGAGCTATATTTCTGAACTGTTCTGCATCCAAGGTTGATTTTGAGCAATTCTCTGACCCCTCTCTTCTTCATAGATAATTTGCGCTTCTCTGATAGCTGTCTCCTCAGCATCCTGTGCAGCTTTTTCTCGTTGTTAGGCTGCCTCTTTTGTAGCCAAATCTAAATTATCATCACCGTTTCCAGTCATAAGTTCTTTGGTTGAGTATTGCCTAACCTTTCTTAATGTGTCGATGAGATTTATTTCCTTCCTCACCTATCGCAGAGTAATGACCCGGCCGATTATTTACTCTTCGCTTTCGCGTGTCCTCTTCACGTTCGCAAAGATCCATGTCCCTTGTGCTTCGCGTTCGCGTACCTTTGCTCGCGTTCATGAAGGGTCTTCTGGCAGCCTTCATTTTTTTTCTTCGCGAACGCGATCACCCTTCCTCGTTCGCGATGCTTTAAGACCTGGGTAGAATAAATAGTACTCTATTCCGAGGGTTTTCCATTTTCACCATTGTTGGAGTTCTAGAGCTCGGTTTTGAGCGATTCTTTGTGGGTTTTTCAAGCAAATCGATTGGGTAAGTGTTCTTCACCTAGAATTTAATATATTCCATGATTTTATCTTTATTTTTATTATTTAATTTGTGTTTTGAGTTGAGGAAATAGTGATTTTTGAAGAACATTTTCAAAATGAAAAATCATTATTTGAGGGACGAATTGGTATCGGAATGATGATTTTAGTATGGTTGAACTCGTATCGGAATGAGTGTTCGGGTTTTGTGAAATTTATCGGGTTCCGAGGTGCGGGCCCGGTGGTCGACCTTTGGGTCGATTTTTAGATTTTTGATAAAGATTGATGCTTTATGATCTGGAATAGTTTCTTATGAGTTTTAATTGTGCTTTGAAGTTATTTTAGTTAGATTTGAGCTGCCCGAGGTCATTTCACCCGAGAAGTTTATTTTTAGAGTATCGGTCTGTCTTCTTTGAGG